AAGGCGGCGGGGCGGGCCGTCTCAGACGGCGGCGCGTCTCCTCGGAAGCCCCCGAAGGCGTTCCGACAAGCCGCCTTCGGGGCCTCGGCGACGGAAGGCCCCGAAGGCTTCTCGGACCCCGCGAGGGCGTCCGAGGAGCCCCGCCGCCCTCCGAGAGGGCCCGCCCCCTCTCGCATTCCCCCCCCCCTCGGCGCGCTGCGGGGCCGTGGGCAAGCCTGGCGCACCATCCGAGCGGGCCGGCGGGCCCCAACCTTACAGCCGGGGCCCTGAAGAAGGAACCCTTTTGGTCGGGGAGGGTCTCCGCATTCCTCAAGGGTTTCACCGCTTGCCTCAGGTTTTCCTTATGTTTTCGATCGGAAGTCGGAGTTTCACTTATGGAAAAAAAGGGGCCTCGTTCCTTATTTAGGGTTCCTTCGGTCAAGGCCCCGATTGTACCCACTCTCGAGAATGGCGAGCAGCGCATCGGCTACATGTAAGAGTGCCCGTGCGCTGGAAATGGCGTCTGGTGCGGGCCCGCTGGGGCCCGCAGGTGGGCGAGCGGGATGCAGCAGCAGCGGCTTGTGCGCTCAGGTTCGGCCTCCCCGCGGCCCCCGAAAGTCGCGCACCAGCGGCTGGGCTTATGACAGGCTGGGGGGGCGCGAGCGGTCCTATGTTAAAATATCCGAAGTTTGGAAACTATGAGCCCAATGCTTTCACAAAGTTCAAGTTCAACGTTGCTGGAAGCCTGAAGTCCGGAAACACTTCGGGAACAATTTGGCGGCGAGAAACAAGTTTGGGAAAAAATCGGCGGCGAGAAACATGTTCGCACGAATATCAGATAGCGCTCGGCGGCGAGGAACAAGTTCGAAAAAAGTTCAAAACATATCGAAAGTTAGAGGAAAGTGCAAACAGTTGCCACATAATGTCAAACATCAAAAAATCGAAAGTTGATTAACAAAAAGATCAACAAAAACAACACACGTTTGGAAAACATCGTCGTTGTGCCAGGGGGCCGTCTTGCATCTTTTTCTTGCTTAAGACTACTGGGGGGGCCCGGCTCGAACTTTTGATTATCCTTCTGCCCGAACCCAAACCCGAACTTTCATTTTTTTCAGGAACGACCATCTCTCCCCCCATCAGCCGATTACAAGGCTTGGCCTCCCAGATGGGGTCTGAGTAGATGGGTCGGAAGAACGCGCCGCATCGCCGATGCATCGGCGATGCGGCTCGATGCGGAGCCCGATTTTCTCCATGCCGACGGCGCCGATGCGTCGCCGACGTCGCCGGTGCATCGCCTATGCAGCTGCGATGCATTAGCGATGCATCGCCGATGCTGTACGATCCTCCGACCTCATCTACTCGGACCGCATCTAGGAGGTCTCTGCGAATATCACTCTTGCCCAGGGTTACTCTTGCGTGTAGCCGTGAGTATGGCGGGCAGGGCCGAGTCCGTCTCTGAGAGCCTGCTCTTGCGGCGGGGCAAGCGAGGGGGGCGCTGGGGGGGAGAGAGGGGAGGAGGAGGGAGGAGGAGGAGGAGGGGGGAGGAGGAGGAGGAGGAGGAGGAGGAGGAGGAGGAGGAGGAGGAGGAGGAGGAGGAGGAGAGGAGGAGGAGGAGGAGGAGGAGGAGGAGGAGGAGGAGGAGGAAGGTTTACCCAGATGGCTACAGGCTTTCATCGAAACCGTCTGCAAGGATGAGGCGGCCAACCGAGGCCGTGCATCTGAGGAGGAGGGGGCGGGGAGGGGAGTGGGGTGGGGGGGGCAAACTGTTCGGCCTCGGGCGAGGCCGGACCTGTTGCCCCGCCTGCCCGGCGGTGCCCTCGGATGCGGAGCGCGGGGCCAGTTCTAGTCCCCCGGGCCCAGAGCAGTTCCAGACGTCCCTCCTCCCCCTGCTCCTTCGCCTTCTGCATGCATTTGGCTCTAGCTGCCCGGATTGTACACTCGTCCACATCTATCTTTCTGGCACGTGTAACTGCATATATGTATGGGCGCTGCCGTGGTGATCGGTGTTTACTTGTTCCGCAGCGCTACACTTTGCATCACATGGCAATGCGTCGCCTTTGATGCAATCCCAGCACGTCCTTGCACTGATCCGAGTTGCCTCACACATTGCGTTGTGTTGCAGTGTGTGTGTGGCATGGCTCTACACTGCATTGCATGTCCGTCGCCTCGTATCTACATTGCGTAGCATTGTACGTGCATCGCAGCGCGTTGCATTGTATTGCGTTGAATTGTGTTTACCCGAAGCATCATTGCGTTACGATTCATTGCATGATGTTGAACTGTATGTTATTTGCATGCTGTTGCTTTGTTGTGATGTGTTGTGCGCTATATTGCGTTGCCTTGCATGGCGTTGCCTTCGAACCATATGCATGCTCATGCGTCGTGCAGTGGAATGCTGTTGCTTCGGCTTGCACAGCTGTCCAAGGTATGCGCATTTCATTGTGATGGATCTAACATGCGCCGCATATATTTGTAGCATGCTTTCGCAGTGCGTGTTCAGAATCATGTTCTCGAGAATTGCGGTTGTGTTGCATCACAGTTGTGCGCATTGCAACGCAATTGCAGTTCACAGTGCCGCAACGCAGCAATAGAAACGAGGCACGCAATGCGCAGCAACCCAGATGCAGTTCAATACACTGCTACGTAGCGCAAATAACATGCATGTAGGGCATATGTTCAGGACCTGCTAGATTCGGTTCCGTGAACGGCCCTGGAGCATGCCACAACATGTTCTCTCACCAGCTGACCAATGTAAAGTGCAGCTCGGCAACAGACTGGCTCGGGCTGCGCTGGGCCTTTTCTTTTTTTTGCTGGAAGCAACGGATCCCAGCCATGCCAGAACATCCGCTTGCATCTCGTCTTTGGCTGACGCTTGCCGTCCCTTGCCCACCGCCCCAATGCTGTTACCCTAGTCGAGCTGCACCAGCGCCTGTCCAAGGATCTCTGTAGAAAATGCCAGGGCCCTCCAGCTTGAGGGGATCGCCTGTGCCAGCCCAGCTGCCGCATATCCGCGGGAGCTCGCCCACTGTATTGCGCGTGCCCTGACAGCCTCAAGCGTTGCTCATTGTGGGTTCAATTTCAGCCCCCCTCCCCTTTCCCAGCCCTAGTGAACTTTGTGTATTCTGCAATTTTCGGTGGAATGACAGCGACGCGTTGTTGTTACTCCAACCTGTGGCCAAGTGTTTGAGGCTTTGTCAGAACTGCCCCTGCAAAGTGAAGAAAGCATGGCTCTTTATGTTCTTGATCGGTTGAGCTTCGCGCTTGAACATAGCAGTACCACCAAGTCAGTGTCGCCATATACCACTTACATGGGGATTCAAGAGTTTGCACATCGGTGCTTTGCGTTTACCCCACCCTGCTTGTTTCCCCCCCTCTCTTCCATAGCCTGGCTCCGGCTCCCACCCTCCCACCCTGAAGGATTGAGAGTTATGGCGTTTTGTGAGTCTAACCTTCGGGCAAGACGTTTCCAGGCTTTCATCCGAATTGTCCCTGACAGGTGAACACAGCATGGCCCGAACCTAGAAACGTCGAGAACAAAACAACGGCCCAACTCCTCCGAGAACACACACCAACACCCTAACTACGACCCCAGTCCCAAGCGTAATCGCCCCGAGCTTTTCCCAGCCTCCCTCCCCGCGGAGAGGAGCGAAACGTTCTCGGCTCGCGAGGCACAGCGCGTCGCAGGGGCCGCCGTGGCGACACGCTAAGCAAAGTCCATGACCATTGCAGAAATAGCAGCCCAAGTTGTGAAGAGGGGGGAAGCTGCAAAGGAGGCCTGGTGGACAGGGGGCGTCGGTCGGGCCTAGGACTGGGATGATTCTAGTCCTTCCAGATCGGCTCGGAGCAGATTGGGTCCTAGGGTCGCGCCACATCGCCGATGTGTCGTCGATGCGGCTCGATGTGGGGCCCGATCTTCTTCACGCGGACGTTGCCGTTGCGTCGTCGACGTCGCCCATGCATCGCCGATGCATCGACGATGTATCACCGATGCATCGGCGATGCGAGAAGATCCTCCGACACCATCTACTCTCTCACCATATGGGAGGCTTCCATGATTTGTGACAGACCATTCCGGGACGCTCTCAGAGCGTTCCGCAGCACGCGGCACATGCTCCAGAACCGCCAGATGTCGGAGATCCCCTACTCCTCGGGAACAGATCACGGAAGCCGCGCATGCCCTCCAGTTCCGTCTTCAGAGTGCACTAGCGTGCGCTGGCATCTGGTAATCGAGTAATCGATGAGAAAGCGCCGATTCCGCGTCGACGAGCGCCGATTTGCGTCGATGTGCTGTCGACTAGCGCCGATGACCGTTGGATAGCGTCAATTCGGAAGAGGCAGCAAGATTGGAAGAGAGGCCGTTGCCACGAACGAGTAGTCGGGGTACCATGTTGTCCCGGTCCCGGCCTCGTATTTGGATGCCGACCGTCAATTGAGACACGTTGCTGCACTGCCCGCCCAAACGTGCAGACACAACACGACACATAGCATCAGCAAGCGTACTGCAACGTGCGAACAGAAAAACAGCAAACCCAGAGGACTCGGGATAAGAAAACGGTCAGGGGGAGGGGTTCCAGGCCTCTGGGGGGCCACGCTGCGGAAGAATCACGGCGTCGGGGGTTTTCTCATGGTCCGCCCGGAGGCCGCAGACCATGATGAAAAAATCCGCACCTGGAGGTCTGGGCAACAGGGTGGCGACCATAAGTTTGGACACCCGAAATGGGTACGGAAAGAATGGGCACTATGCCCAACAACAAATGTTGTCCCAAGCCAACAGCGGCCGCTGTTGGGCAGGCGGCCTTCTGTCTCGAATGGACACAGGCCGCGGCGGCGTGGACAGCGAATCCTGTTGAAAATGATCGGGAATTGTTGTTGGGCATTGTACCCATTCTTTCAGTATCCATTTCGGGCGTCCAAAATAAGCGCAACCACACCTTCTGCATTTTGCCGCCCATGGCGCCCTCCCCGATCCGCGCCCTGGCCTGCGCCGGGGCCCTCGCCGCCCCCGCGGCGGCCCTGTCGAGGCAGCCGGGCACGGGGCCGCTCGGCGCAGGGGGCCAGCAAGAGGTGCCGGAGCAGCCGCCGGCTCCGCGGGCGGCAGACCTGGAGAGGTGCCCGGGGGCCAATGGCCGGAGGAGGAGGAGGAGGAGGAGGAGGAAGGAGGAGGAGGAGGAGGAGGAGGAGGAGGAGGAGGAGGAGGAGGAGGAGGAGGAGGAGGAGGAGGGAGGAGGAGGGGGCAGGAGGAGGAGGAGGAGGAGGAGGAGGAGGAGGAGGAGGAGGGAGGAGGAGGAGGAGGAGGAGAGAGGAGCACGCCACAGAGCGCGCAGAGCATTCAAAGACGCACGCGCGCGCCCTCGACCCCGATGTACTCCCCTCAGCAGACCGAACGTAAGAGTGACCGTTCGCCGGAGTGACCTTTGGTGCGGGCCCAATGGGGTCCCCCGTGCCCCGATCGCCGAACGCGAAGCGGCGGCAGCGGCCTGCGCGCCTGGGTTTGGCCACCCCGCGCCCCCCGTCAAGCCGCGCACCAGAGGTCACTTTTGCCCAGGGTCACTTGCGTGCAGCTGGCCGATCTCCAACGATATGTGTTTTTCTAATATGGTGTGTTCCCTAAGTCTCGGCCGCTGGGCGAAGATACTTTCTGCGGAGTTTCAAACCTCCTACTGTTCCTCCTACTTTTGGTGATTTGCATGCTTCTTTGAGCGGGCTCCAACTCTTCGGCCGACGAATTCGGGATGTCTCTTGGCCGAGGGAGCGGGCCCAGATTCTCCAATCTACGAATTGGAAAGGTGCTGTAGGGGGTCAGGAGTGGAGGGATGATGCTGCTGCTTCTGCTGCTGCTGCTGCTGCTGCTGATGATGATGATGATGATGATGATGTTGATGATGATAAGAAGCAGGTCGACGATGATGATGATACATGAGGAGTCTAAGGGCCAATGCCTGCTCATTTCCCTCCTGCTCCTCTCGTCCCCTTCCTTTTCCTTCACTATCCATTTCCTCTTCCCCCTTTTTTCTTCTCATCATCACCATCGTCATCATCATCATCATCGTCATCATCATTATCATCATGATCACCCCTCCACTACTGACCCCAATCCAGCACCCTTCCAATTCGTAGATTGGAGCATCACCACCACCATCATCATACAAATCATCATCGTAAGCATCTTCGAATTAATCATGCACCGCACTCATTTCTATACCCATGTGTGGATGTGAATGTGCGGCCGTTTTTGCGCTGGCATGTGCGCGCATGTGCGGGGCATGTCTCTGGCATGTGTCCGGCACGCGCGGGTCTTCTGGGTTGAATGTCCTACTGCATGCGCGCTCGGGCATTAGCAGGGTCATCGGCGCTGTGTTTTGGTGCATCGTTTGTCCGCAAATGGCAGCACGCATGACGGCGCGCACTCTGTCGCACATGCCTACACATGCGGAAGGTGTGCGATTATTGTCGACTCGCCAGCGGCACATGCACGCACATGACTGTGCAATCCTCCTGCGGATGACTCGCCCCAGAGAGCCCTCGTCGCCACGGCTGGGTTCTCCTCGGAGGCCTTGTCAGGAAGCCGCCCCAGGAGAGGCCCAGGGAGCCACGGTGTCGGCATGTTTTGTCGCCCTGCCGCGCGCATATGCGCAGCGATCCTGCGCACACGGCCGTCTCCTCAGTCGAGAGGTGGGCCCGGGGGCCCCTCTTCTCCGAGAGGGGCAGCCTCCACCACGCGACGGTCCGCAGCCACAGGGGCACATACGACCTGACCATCGCCCCGCTCCGAGGCGGGCAGCCCCTCGCCGAGGGCTGGGAGAGCGGCCGCACCGCCGAGCTGTGCAGGCAGTTCCGGGACACGGCAGGCGAGGTCGGCAACTTCCTCGACGTCGGCGCGAGCATCGGCACCGTCACCATCCCGATGGCGGACTGCCTCAGGTTCCGCGGAGGCAGGGTGATCGCCGTGGAGGGATCGCCGCCCGTCGCCGACCACCTCGCGGTGGGCATCCTGGCGAACAATCTCCAGAATGTGGACATGTACATGTACGCCGTGGGCGCGCCCGACGACCGGGGGGTGGTCACGACCGGCGACCGCATGCTCGCGTCCAACCCGGCGATGAAGGCCATCTTGGCAGCCAAGGTTGGCATCGAGGGCCACGAGGGCCATTTCCTCAAGAATTCTCAGCGCCTCTTCTCCACATACCCCCCTTGCATCATGACCATCGAGCTGGTCCCGGAGCGGCTGGAGCGCGCGGGCACCCCAGTTGAGGGGGTCCTCGACATGTTAGCCAGCTGGGGCTACAGCGACGTCCCTACTGCCGCCAACCTCGGGGCCTCGAGCGCCAAGGGCGGGACCATGACCCTCACGCAGAAGGACCTCCCGGCGTGCCTGGAGCGCGTCAGGTCGGAGGGCGCAAGCGGAGCACATGGCACCGATCCTTGCCAGGGCAGTCCTGGGCGGAGGAGGAGGAGGAGGAGGAAGAGGAGGAGGAGGAGGAGGGATGAGGAGGAGGGGGGAGGAAGAGGGAGGAGGAGGGAGGAGGAGGAGGAGGAGAGGAGGAGGAGGAGGAGGAGGAGGAGGAGAGGAGGAGGAGGAGGAGGAAGAGGGAGGAGGAGGAGGGAGGAGGAGGAGGAGGAGGGGGGGAGGAGGAGGAGGAGGAGGGGCAGCCCTGGGCCCAGGATTGGTGGCTAGATGCCCTCTTCGCCATAGCGAGCCTGGGCCCCGAGCGCGGGCTTGGCCAGGATAGATCCGGGTGCACAGCTGCGGCCGCAAACTTTAGGGTGAAGAGACCCTCCTCCTCCTCCTCATCTCCTCCTCCTCCTCCCTCCTCCCCCTCCCCTCTCCTCCTCCTCCTCCTCCTCCTCCTCCTCCTCCTCCTCCTTTCCTCCTCCTCCTCCTCCTCCTCCTCCTCCTCCTCCTCCTCCTCCCCCTCCTCCCCCTCGCCAAGAAACACCCTTCTTGCCTCCTGGGTGCCCTGGGCTTCTTGGGCTTCGATGGTTTTGCGGTGGACAGGGCGACGCGCCCACGCCGAAAGTCGGTGGACGCCCTGGGGTCTCAGGGTCGGGCTTCTTGTGGGGGGGTTCTTGTGGACGGGCCTCCACTGCAGCGTGTCGGTCCACCGGCTCTGGCCCACCACGCCTCGGCGCACCGCGCTGGCCACTTCCTGGCCCCCAGGCGTCGCCGTTCCGAGACTTGCCGAGCCTCCTGCGCGGCGGAGCGGAGAGACGCGCTATCCGCTCGCAGGGCACACCGTCGGACCGGGGCAGTTACAATATCGAGGTCCGTTCGGGGAGGGTGCTCTGATGTTCTTCGTGCTTGCTGGATGTTCCTGTGCACCCTGGGGAGGGTTACCCTCTGACGTTGTGTGCGTTTTGGCCGGCGGAGGGTCTCGTGCTCTCGAGGGACGTTCTCTCCTGTCCTGATACCTTCACCTGTGGCGCGTCGCCGCGGCGGCGCGCCGAGCAGCAGCTCCCGACCGCAGCGCCCTCCGGCCAGGGCACGCGCCGCGGAGAGCAGCGTGCGGTCCGGGGCCAACTTCTCGGACCCCGGCGCCCTGAGCGCCGCGCTGGCCCGCGAGGCCCGGGCGAGGGAGCTGATCGCCATGCTCCGGCAGGACCGGGGGCGGCCAAGAGGGGGGCGATGGAGGAGGAACATGAGGATGAGGACGAGGATGAGGAAGAGAAGGAGGAGGAGGAGGAGGAGGGGCAGGAGGAGGATGAGGATGAGGATTAGGGGGGGGGGATCTCATGGCGGGGGGCAGGATATCTCCCCAGGTTTCCGGGCGCCTCTTCTCGTTTCATTGCGTCCCTGGCCCCCCCCGCTGGGCCGCGCACATGCCGCCGGTCATGCTTCGCACCCCCCCTCTCTCGGACACCCCCCTCCTGGCCGCTCCCGGCAGGAGCAGCCTCGGAGGCCCGCGGCGCGCCTGCGGGGCGCGCGGTCGGCGGTCACCGGTCGCGGCGATCGGGAGGTCACGAGCAGGTGGGGTCTGCGGGGATCGCCGATGCAGCCGCGATGCGGCTCGATGTGGGGTCCGATTTTCTCCGCGTCGAAGCTGCGGAGTCATCAGCGACGTCGACGCTGCCTCGGCGATGCATCAAGGGTGTCGCGATCCTCGGACCTCATCTGCTCGGAACCCACGTGGGAGGCCTCTGGTCACGCGATCATCTGTTCGGGTCAGTCACGCCCCCGTCCGAGCTGGAGTGCGTGATCGATCCGTGATTGGCGCGGTGGCCATCGTGGTCAGGGACGCGATCGGATCACGTGGTCGAGTGGCGTGATCGGCCGAGGGATTAGCCATACACACGAAGGCCAGCTGGCGCCGTGCAGAACGCCAGTGAGCCGCAGGCGGGATCCCTCCTGAAGGCCAGCGGGTTCCTCTTGAGGATGCAACTTCTGGGAGGTCTGGTCGAGAGCCGGCCTCGTCTGGCAGAATCCCGCTTCACCTGGCCCAGACCCGCCCAGTCCAGCTCAATACCGAGCCGTGTCCGACCTGGCCCAGCTCAAGGGCCTCTCACTCGGGCTGTTCGCAGCCCTTCCCTCGTTCCTGCGAAGACCTCCGAGAAGCTGTTGTTTTAATCAGAGCGTGAATTACCTACCCCGCTTTCGCTTCCAGGCAAAACCAAGTCATACCACGCGCCTCCTCGTCAAGCGGCCTGACCAGTACAGGCCGTAGTTTGGCGTCGCTTGGCACCTCTTGGAAGCGAGGGTGGTCAAAAGCGAGGTAGCTTTGTTTTCCCCCTATTTCATTCAGACTGGGCTAGGACGAGGACAAATCCGTTCCGGAGCGTTCTGGGTCAGAGCGTTCCGGAACACCATGAGAATCAGGAGGGAAAGAACCACACAGACACAATTAATCGTCGATTCCCAGGAAAATATAGGAAAATATGGGAATTGGGCGGGAAGACAAAAACCCAAAAAACCCAGAAAATATGGGGAATCTTTTTATTTGTGTGTATTTATTTGTGTGTCCCAGGGCCCCTTCAGAGAAGGCCGCGGCCCCCGAGACATCCTCCAGAGCTGCCGGATCTCAGAGGTTCCCGAGGTCTCCCCACTCGATGCTCCTCTCGTCCTCCCCCTCCCCCTCCCCCTCCTCCTCCTCCTCCTCCTCCTCCTCCTCCTCCTCCTCCTCCTCCTCCTCCTCCTCCTCCTTCTCCTCCTCCTCCTCCTCCTCCTCCTCCTCTCTCGTCTTGGCCTCGTCTTGCAGCAGGCAGCCGAGATGGCCAGCGATCCGATGGTGGCGGACCTCGAGAGGTTCGGCGGCGAGCCCAGGGGGGAAGTGAGAAGGGCGGGCCTTCTCAGAAGGCTCGGGAGCCCCCCCAGCCTTGTGAGAAACTTTCTAAGCCCTCCCCAAGGACACCGAACACCTCCCTTAGAAGGCGCGAGGGCGTATGCAGCCGAGGGCGGATGCACAGCAGTTTCTGCTCGGTGGGGTCCCCCTTTCCCAGCAGGCGGGACGCCGGCAGCTTGCATCGCTCTGGCGGGAGAGAAAGAGAGAGAGAGAGAGAGACGCAACAAAGAGAAGGCGCCAGAGGCTTCTGAGAATTAGAGCGTGAATTACCTACCCCGCTTTCGCTTCCAAGCCAAACCAAGTCATACCACGCGCCTCCTCGTCAAGCGGCCTGACCAGTACAGGCCGTAGTTTGGCATCGTTTGGTATCTCTTGGAAGCGAGGGTGGTCAAAAGCGAGGTAGCTTTGTTTTCCCCCTAGAGAAGTCCCGCCGCCTCCCGAGAAGGCCTTCTCCTTCTCCTTCCCCCCCCGCCCCTATCGCTCGCCGCCGAGAGGTGGGGGCGCGGGCCCCTCCTCTCCGGAAACGGCAGCCTCCACCGCGCGAGGGTCGCGAGCCGGCGGGGCGCCTACGACCTGACCGTTGCCGCCTTCGGCCGCCGGGAGGACCGGGAGGCTCGAGGGCCGGGAGCTCCTGGGGGAGGGGGCGGAAGAGAGGGGGGTGAGGACTAGGGGGGGGGGATATCATGGCGGGGGCCATGATATCTCCCCAGATTTCGTGGCGCCTCTTCTTATTTCATTGCGTCCCCGGCTCCCCCGCTGGGCCGCGCACATGCCGCCGGTCATGCTTTGCACCCCCCCCTCTTGGACACCCCCCTCTTGGCCGCTCCCGATTGGGGGGGGGCGGGTCGGTGGGGGCCGCGCCCGCGAGCAGAGAGGCACAGCTCCGGCCCTGGGCTGCCCCATAGGCTGCCCAGGCCGGGGGGGTCCAGGGAGGGTCTCCTTGCAGGCCCACTGGGATCTGTCTGGTCTCTGACATCAGTAGCGCATGTAACTATTTTCACGAAAGTAGATTCATCACCTATATGTACAGGTATATATATATATACACCCTCATATACATATGTATACCAGACTGTATTGGCGCTGCGCTCCATGCACCTTGGTCCTTGAAGTTCGGCATGCCGACGGAATGGCAGGAAGGTCAACCAGACAATTCAGCGATAACTTCTTGATGCCTTGTCCGGCATCGCTGTTATAGTAATGATAGTCGTTATCCTGCTTACATGTTTCTTTTACCTCATTCGCGCCCTACCCTGCTTCCCCATCCTCCTCAGCTCTTTTTGCGGAGGCTCCTCCTTTGAGAGCCTCTGGGGGCCTCTGGGGGCTTCCTCGGGCCGCCTGCCTCCAACCGCGGTCTTCCTGAACGACTGGGTTACAATTTGGAATGCTTCGGAAGGTGTCTTGGGGCCATCCTGGGCCGTCATGGGTCTCTCTTAGGCCATCTTGGAACCCTGTTGTGCCGTCTTGGGACACCTTGGACTGCCTGGAAGCCCTTTCGGATGGTTTTGGGGCGATCTTCGAGCCTCCCATGCAGTCTCGGACGCCCACAAGACCGAGGAACAGGGCATTTCCAACATTATGCGATAACATTGGGAAAAATCAATGTTTCTCTGTGTTTTGAAAAGCCTGTTGGGGGTGTTCGTTGGGTCGACTTCGGGCGTCTGGTGGGTGTCTGGGGCCTTGGGGCCCCCGGGGGGGCGTTCAGCCGCCCTCCTGACCGATTTGGGCCCGTTGCCTAGGCCCAGCAAGGGCTTCCAGGAGCTCTGAAACGCATGGGGGGCTTGCTGCAGGGGCGTCTAGGGGGTCCCTGGGGCCACAGATCCAGGGGGTCCAGAGGGTCCCGGGGGCCTGTGATTCTTGGGGCCAGGTTTCGGGAGGGTGGGTCCAGGTAATAAGAATATGCGAATGGGGATAGATATACGATCGAACAGGCACTTCTTCAACGTTTCAAGTAAATAACGTTTGCAACATTTCGAAACAACTAATATCTCACTTGAAACCGATCCCCCCGAGAAAGCACTGCCACAACAGTCGTGATGCTTGCTTCGGCGCGTGCGGTGGTTCTGTGAGTTCGGCGTGCGTGGCATACATGACCTATTCATTTGGTGTTTCACACCTGCTTGTATGCAAGATCTTATAATAAGCGTCCACTCCAGGTGCATATACCCCTCAGAATTTCCACGCCCAGGTTTATAACGTCCATCCCAAGGCGTCGTACCGAATGAAACTCGCTCTTATCAGCAAATTGAAAACACGTGTTTTAACAATAGAAGCGCTTCAATACAACAAACGAGTTTCAATAACCACCGCTTGTTTTGAAGCACGGACGCAGTGCAGTCTTAACAAGCAAGTCAGCACATCAGCACCTGTATGGGTGGTCGAGATGAACATCGCAATCGCTTCTCAGGGAGCGAAGAAACGCGCCAACGCCACACGAAAGCACCCGCATTGCATTCCACGCTTGCGCTTGTAACACCCCTTTGTGGTTTCTCGGGGCCGCAGTGTCTTGCCTGGGTACGACCCTCCGCTGGACCCCACAGGATCCCACAAAAAGGACGGCACATGCGCAGGTGGCATCATCACCAGGCGGGCGAGGGGTTTGGTCTGGAGCCTGGGTGCGCGTACGACGCCGTTCCGCTGGACCTCCCCACGAAAGCGGCGACGCTTGCGCAGGGGGACAGTTCAGGAAGAAACGCGGACGCTGGAGAAGAGAGGGAACAACCACGGGGGGGGTGTTCTGAATGCAAATCTGGAACGACATATGGGCGCTCTCATGTGGCACTGGCCCGTGTTTCCGTTCGCCGAGCTAAATGCTTACGATTTTGTTATTTAGATCTCCCACGCAAGTGCTAACGTGCTGATCGCTTCCCTCCTTAAGAAACCAATTGCATGGCGCTCATGTTCTGAAGCCCAATGTTGTTTTTGAAACGCGTTTGTTGTATTGGATCGTTTTCTTTGTACCTGAACATACGTGTTATAGTATGTTTGTTGGGCATCGTTTGTGTACGACGCATGTTTGGGACATGGTACATCTAGGTGTTTTTTTTTCGTTGGAAGCATTCAAGATAATTCGATCTATTAAATAAAGATCACGTACATCTATTTAACCTCGATGCTTTAAGATACGTGTACCAACATGTGTGGTTTCTACATCATGAGCAACACACACTTCGACCACACATCTAAATCATATGTCGGACACTGTTGTTTCTGATACATGTGTGTGGGACTAAGTCGAGATGCTGCAAGTTGTTTGTTTTATTATTGCAGGAACCGCAATGGGCCACCACGCACGTGCGAACTAGCAAACGTACTTAATCCAATTCTATTACAGGAGATTCCAGACGCCATTGGCTCGGAAGCCTTGAGACGGGGGTCAATGCAAACGGGGGTTAGCCAGAGCGCCGGATCTTGAAGGATCCTGCAGGGCCAGTGTTAGTTAGATTGACCCGCGTTCAGGGCGCAGGATCCTGCAGGATGTTGCAGGATGCTGCAGGCACTCGGAAGGCCTGACTGGCCCGAATTTGCATGGACGCGAGTCAGTGCGTCACCGGGAGGACGGAACCATTGCATAAACATCTGTTGTCGTAGCTCCGCGCGGATTTCTTGGGTCCGAGTTGGGGCCCCTCCCTTGGCGGGCTCCGCGCGCCAGGGAGGGGGGCCCAGCGCCGATCCAGCAGATCCGCGCTGACCGCCGAAAGTTCACGCTTAGGTCGCGCGTTATTTCTCTGAAGGTCTCCAGTGCGCTCCTCGACTGGAAGGGCTGGGAGAACGATCAGAACGCTGAGATGTGCGGCCAGTTCTTCAAGGACACGGGCCCAGAGGCTGGCAACTTCCTCGACGTCGGCGCGAACCTCGGCACCTTCACCATCCCGATGGCGGACTGCCTCACTGTTGGAGGCCGGGGCGGCCGGGTGATCGCCGTGGAGGGGATGCCGCCCATCGCCGACCACCTCGCAGTGGGCATCCTGGCCAACAATCTCCAAAACGTGGACATGTACATGTACGCCGTGGGCGCGCCTGACGACCCGAAGGAGGTGACCATGACGCTCAACCCGGTCAACAAGGCCAGCTCCGCCGTCAAGGGCAACAAGCCGCTCGCCAAGATGAGCACGGGCCAGCTGGAGGAGTACCAGGTGCCGCTCACGACGGGCGACCGTATGCTCGCGTCCAACCCGGCGATGAAGGCCATCCTCGTCGCCAAGGTCGGCATCGAGGGCCACGAGGGTCACTTCCTCGAGGGCTCTCAGCGCCTCTTCTCCCAGTACCCCCCGTGCATCATGACCATCGAGCTGGTCCCGCATCGGCTGCAGCGCGCGGGCACCCCGGTGGAGGGCATCCTCGTCCAGCTGGCCAGCTGGGGCTACGGCGACGTCCCCACCGCCGCCCACCTCCGGGCCTCGAGCGCCCAGGGCCGGACCAGGACCCTCGCTCAGAGGGACCTCCCGGCGTGCCTGGAGCGCGTCAGGCCGGCGGGCGCCGGCAGAGCGCATGGGCACCGAGCACGGCCCTGGGCAGCCCTGGGCCCCGAGGCGGTGGACGCGCCGCCCTCCCCTCCGGGCCGGGAGCGCGCCTCGCACCCCTCCCGTGGGCCCAGGCGCGGGCCTGGCCGGGCTCTGTGCGGGAGTGCCGCGCCGGCGCCCTCCGACCAGGGCCCACGCCGCAGAGTCGCGGATCCCGCCCCCCAACTTCTCGGACCCCGACGCCCTGAGCACCGCGGTGGCGCGGGAGGCCCGCGCGAAGGAGCTCGACGCCATGCTCGTGACGCACAAGCGGCCGAGGGACTGGTGGCGGCGCAAGTGAGCCGAGCCGGCGCTGCTCCGGATGAGCCCCTTGCGCCCCGAACTGGGTCGGCTCCAGAGGAGGTCACCAAAAGAAGACTCCTCCACTGCTGCCTCCTCCTCCTCCTCCTCCTCCTCCTCCTCCTCCTCCTCCTCCTCCTCCTCCTGCTCCTTCCCCTCCTCTTGCACTTTGCGGTCCCAGCGTAGGTAGCGTGAGTCGTCGCCAGGTCGACCCTCGGGTCGGCGGAAGGGTCTGCCGTCAGGCTGGCGGTCTGCTCGGCCGCAGAGCGAGCCGTCGGTCGGGTCGCCTCGGCGGTCTGGTCTTCGGTTTGGGCGGTCGATCGGGGCCGTCGGCCTGGCCGCCGCGCAGCGTGGCCGCTGCCCTGGCCGTCGCAGCCCAGGTCGCGTGGTGGCTGTCGGCGTGGCAGATGGAGCCCTGCCAGCCGTTGCCGCAGCCGCTGGCCCCCTCGGTCGGCCTCCTGAGCGTGCCCCTCCGTCGGGCCGTCTGTGCGAAGCTTCGGGCTGGCCGTCTCGGGCCGTTTGGGTCGAGGCCGCCGTCGGCGAGGTCGCGCGCGGCAGCGCGGTCGCGGAAGTTGGAGTCGTGGTCTCCGTGGTCGACTTTGTGAGGCTGTGCGCGGTCGTCGTCGTCGCGGTGGCGTGGTCGCTACAGGGTGTCGGGCTGAGCGTTGGGTAGGGCGCTTGATTCGGAGTCGGGCTGGGCGTCGGGCAGGGCGTCGGGCAGAGTGTCGGGTAGGAGGTCGCGCGGGGCGTCAGGCGCATCTTCGGGTAGGGAGTCGGGTGGGCTGTCGTGCAGGGCGGCGGGCACATCGTGGGGTGTGGCGCCAGGGAGGGGGTCGGGCTAAGGCGCTGGGCAAGAGGTCGGGCAGGGTGTCGGGCAGGGCGCCGGGCAGGGCGTCGCGCAGGACGTGGCGCAGGGTGCCAGGCAGGGCGGCGGGCAGGGCGTCGCGCAGAAAGCCGGGGCTGGGGTCGTCGCGCGGCAGGAAGCAGGAAGGGCGGCCGCCGCCCTCCACCGCCCCAGCGGGCCGCTCCGGACATGGGCGGGGCGCAACTGACTGGGGTGCGCCACTCGGTGGCTCCTCCTCCGTGTCCTCCTCCTCCCCTCCTCCTCCTCCTCCTCCTCCTCCTCCTCCTCCTCCTCCTCCTTCTCCTCCTCCTCCTCCTCCTCCTCCTCCTCCTGCTCCTACTCTTCTTCTTTTTCTTCTTCTTCTTCTTCTTCTTCTTCTTATTCCTCCTCCTCCTCCTTATCCTCCTCCTCCTCCTCCTCCTCCTCTTCCTCCTCATCCTCCTCTCCTCCTCCTTCCCCGGGCCTTCCCCCCCTCCTGCTCCTCCTCCTCCTCCTCCTCCTCTTCCTCCTCCTCCTTTTCCCCGTTTAGCGAACTGATCAATGGAGTTGTAGCGTTCTTCTCCTCCTCCTCCTCCTCCTCGTCCTCATGCCAAGTTTCCTCCTCATCCTCCTCCTTCTCTTCCAGTTCCTCCTTCTCCTTCTTCTCCCCTTCCCCTTCTCTTCGCCATCCGTCTCCGCTTCCTTCTCCTCCTCCTCCTCCTCCTCCTCCTCCTCCTCCTCCTCTTTCCACTCTTTCCTCCTCCCCCCCTCTTCCTCGCCCTCTTATCCCGGCAGCTGTTAGAGTCGTGATCTAGGTAAACATGGGGTCACGATGAGGTCTTGTCGGTTTGGCCCCCTGTTCTGGATGGAGCATGATCCTCCTGGAGCTGGCCGCATTGGGTCCTCTTGTCGGAGCTGCTACGACTTCCTCTTTCTCGTCCTCTTTCCCTTCCTCGCTCTTTCTCTTCCCCATTCGCAACTCTCTGCCTCCATCGTCCCGCCTTCCCTCCTTCTCATCCTCCAAGTCGTGCTCTCCCCTCCCTCACCTTCCGCGGGCAGGCCCAAGGGAATCCCATACAGTCAAGACGCTGACATAAGGTATATTTTGGGTTTGGACAGGGGCTCGCTCTTCCTTGGATCTTGTCAAGTTTTTCCTCCACCGCCCCTCATGCACCAAGGAAGACTCCTGCGGGGAATCAACACCGCATCCTGCCCTGTGGGAGCGCAAGGTAATTGTGATGCAGAACTAACGTAACGCTCGCCTGACTGTCCTTGTTCTCCTCCCTCCTCCTCGTCCTCATCCATGCCCCCGCTTCTTTCTTACCCCTCCTTGTGTCTTCCTCTCTCCTCTTCACTCCTCGTCCTCCTCCTCATCCTCCCCCACCTCCTCATCCTCCTCCTTTCCCTTCTCCTCCTCCCTCCTCTCTCTCTCCCACACTTTTCGTAAGCTAGCCGCGAGCGGAAACTCGTAGAGTCACTCCCCCCTGCTCCTCCCTCCCTCCCTACCCGCCCCCATCATCCCCCCTGCCATCCCCCCCGTCCCTCAGGCAGCCGCCGAGTCGTTCTGGATCTGGCGGCCGGCTCTGTCCTCGGGCCCGCCCATGACACTCCCAAACTGAACACGGCCCTTGCCACGCACGCTGGCGATAGCGGCGCTGGCCGCCGCGTTCTGCGCGCTGCCGGCCCTGGCGACGGCCCTCGCGGTTCAGGGCGAGGCGCGCGCCGTCCTGGCCCAGGCCCCCGACACCGCCGTGAAGAAGTTCGGAGACCTCTCGAGCGGCATCTGGGACAAGACGTCGCTCTCTGGGCCGGGCTCCCGGCCCCGAGGGCGAAGAGCTTTGCTAATATGGAGCACCGCGGGATGGGGGGGCCTATAGGGGGAAAGGGGGGGTATAAGGTATAAAGGGGGTGCTGATTTGGGTTGTACCTGGCTTGACCTGGCGTAGAAGTGAGTTACAGGTTGCCCTGAGTGGCTCACGGGGGTTCAAGGCCGGGCTGAGTGGGCGGAGCCCACTTCTCGGAGTTATCCGACCACCCTGTATCACTGTGGATTCGTGCAGCCCACTTAAAATCAAGGTTAGACTAGATTTCTCGGATCAGCGCTGTGCCCCTTGGGGCGGCACGTCGGGCGCAGACCCCTGGCGCGCCTCGCGCGCTTGGGAGTGTTCGGGGAATCGTGAGACTCGAGTTCACAGTGACCTGGGTTTGCCGGGTCTGCCGCCGCCTTTTGACGGCCTTGGCGTGACCTCTGACAGCCCAGGTTCCGTAGGATGTCTGCAGCGAGAGCTCACGCCAATTTCAGACCGCGGTCCGGCCATTCATTCTTCTCACGGCCCCGCCCGACAGGCTCCAGGCCCCACGACCAGAGTCCCGCGCTGGCAAGGCTTCGGGCTGCGCACAGACATCCCCCCGCAGGTACAGTCGGGGCCCTGAAGAAGGAACCCTTTTCGTTGGGGAGGGGCTCCGCGTTCCTTCAGTGTGTCACAGCTTGCCTCAGGTTTTCCTTATGTTTCCGACGGGAGATCGAATTTTCACTGATGGGAAAAAGGGACCTCGTTCCTTATTTAGGGTTCCTTGGGTCAACGCCCCGACTGTAGTCTTGGTGAGCCTCAACAGGCCCCCGAACAGTCCCGCCGGTCGCTCCGGGGCGGTCTCAACTCCCCCACCGTGGGGCGCGGAGGGCTTCAGGAGCGCCTCCGGGGCCCTGCTTGAGGCGGCGCCAGGGTGTTGGTGCCGCCCAGGACTCGTCCGTGGGGCCTCTTGAGGCCAGCTGGGACTGCCTTGGGGGGGGGTGCTGTCTGTGCGCGATCCGGAGCGCTACCGTCCTGCGCCGTCTCGAGACACCCGCCCAGAGCTCCCAACAGACCTGCAGTGCCGTTTTTTATACATGTTCCGCGTGCGGAGCATGTATTGAAAATGCAGGGATTTAGTCTTTAAAACAACGATGAGTTCACGCATGCATGTATTCATAAATGAATCGTTATTAAGAAGCCGATGATTTTAATACAAATCCTATGTATTACAAACTGCCCTGCATGCTCGTGCAGCTCCTCTTCTTCCCCCCAGGCCGGAGGCTTGCAGCCCGTTCGTGGACTTCTTTCTCGGATGGATGCGCAACCACACGGACGTCGAGTCCATGGTCGAGATCAGTGCGGGCCACTGGCCCACCGGGTGGCAGCGCTTCGTGGAGTGGCCTCACATTCGGAGGAGGGCCAGTCGAGACAACAGCTGCCCTCCCCGGCTTTTTTTTGCTTTGCCCGGAGGATTCTCGTCGCCGCTGCTGAATCCGCCTCGGCAAGCGGGCCAGCTTGGACGGACGGGTACGGGGACCGATTTTCAGCTCATGTGAGCCAGGCGGCAGAGCCGCCGACGCCGTTGTCTCCAGTGGTCTGTCTCCGACACATCGACTACACGGGCATCGACCTGCTCGAGGAGGTGATCACTGCCGACAAGGAGTATCTGGCCAAGAACGGAAAGGCGGGGTTGCGCAGTATGGTCTTCCAGCAGGGCGACATGCTGGTGGACAAGACATTGCCCGAGGCGGACCTCCTTTTCACCAAGGACACGCTCATCCACTTCCCTAACAAATGCATAAATCTGTTCATCAGTCAGACGGTGGTGCAGTGCCCGCCGAAATATAAGTATGTGATGTTCGTTCACGACATGAGAGAGCGCGACGAAGAGAACACGGACATCAACAACTTCGGCGATTATCATGGCATGCAGTTGAGGAACAGACCCTTCGGCCTCAACGTCACGACCGCCTTCACATGGACGGCGGAACTCGATGGGAAGAAGCGTGTGGTCCAGGTCTTCGATACGGCGGCTGCCTGCGGATCCCTTCCAGCTGGCGATGCCGAGGAAGAGGAAGGCTTCTAGCACCCGAGGGGGACGACCCCAGCAGATTCGGGAGCATGGAATTGACGATCATCGCTGAGCGACGTAATAGAAAAGGATGAACTCGCGCGGACATGGACATCCGCGCGCAAGCTACCCGCAGATGGTCGCGCGTATAATCGCCCTCTGTCCCAGGCGCTGCGACACTTGGCGGCCCGCGTATACGCCAAGGCTCGACCTATGTGTTGGGCGATCTCGTGGGCCGTTGTCGTTCTGGCTTCTTTTTGCAGAAGGGCAGATCGAAGACACAACGGGGGAAGACGAAGGCAGCCCGAACACAGAAAGCATTGTCACGAAAAGCACTGTTTCGGTCGAGCCCTGGCGCAGGCCAGTCGCGCAGGGCCGCCGCGCCCCTGCGCGCAGGGAACCTCCTCCGGGTTCCTCCGGGGGGTCTCCTCCCTCCCGCCCCTTGTCCGTAGAAGGAGCTGCCCCCTGCCTCACCCCGAGACGTGTCGCCAGGGCGGTCCTCGTGGATCTGCTCACCACATGTCAACACGCCATGCTGCTCCCGTCCGCCTGTAACTCTTGGCATCGCTCGGACGTGTGCATTTTTCCTTCGGCGAGGACAATCTAGGAGCATCCTTGATCATTTGGCGAGAAAACCACGCCGGAAACCGAAAAAAACACTGGGAATGGACGTCCGAGCGATGGCCAGAACCTGGGTGCGCTCCCGCTGGACGTGCGCTCCCCTCCGTCCCAAATATGACTCCTCCCTAGCGCACCCCGAGGCGCGTCCGTCGGGCGGGGCGGGCAGTTCACCTGAGATTTCTCACCACTCACGATCCTGAGACTCGGGAACTGCAACAGCTTCACGCATGGAGTGTGGGCGGTTTTCCACTTGTGGTTCTCGCCGTAGCGCCGCGCACAATAGTTCGCAGAGCTCGCCAAGGTTTCACGGATGGAGGGCGCGTCGTTTCTTAAAAGCGGTTCTCGCCATAGCGCCGCGCACGTGCGCCTTGAATGTTTGCAAAAGTTTCACGGACGAAGGGCGTGTCTTTCTCAACATGTGGTCCTCGCTTGAGCGCCGCGACATGCTGGACCTCCGCGGATGAAGGGCAGCTCATTTTCAAAATGGGGTTCTCGCACAAGGTCCGCGCACATTCGGCCCAAAGGACAGCAAGGGCTTCCACGGATGGAGAGCGGTTCCTCTTCAAACTGTGGTTCCTGCCTGCTCGCCGCGCACACTCGTCTTAAAGCTTTGTTGGGGCTTCACGGATAGATGACGGGTAGATTGAAGCATGCGGCTCCCTCTTCGGCACCGCGCACATTCGTCCCACAAGTTGGCACGAACCTCACGGATGGAGCGCGGGCCGTTTGAAACATGTGGTCCCCGCCTTCGCCCCACGCGCGATGCGCTCCGCTCCGCTGTCTGAATTGTAACAGCCTCGCGGATGGAGGGCGGCTCCTGTTCAAAATGTGGTCCTCGCTACAGAGCGCCGCGCACACTCTTCCCAGCAGTGTGCACGGGGTTCGCGGATCGGGGGGGCGGCGGCACGGCTCTCGCGCAGGCCCCGCGATCAAAGTTTGCCAGCGCTTCGCGGCTGGAGGGCGGCTCTTTTTCAACAGGCGGTTCGCGCTTTGGCGCCGCGCGCGCTCGCTCGAAAAGTTCGCAGCAGCGCAACGGATTGTTATGGCTGGCGTCCCAGGAATGGTGTTGCAGTGCGACGTAGGGCTGTCAGGGCGCAGCGGTCGCGTTGCTTCGCGGCGCCGAAGGCCCCACAAGAGCGCTCCGGCACGATACGGGATCGCAAGGGCGCAACAGTGAACTGGATCCGCGGCGTGGAACTCCAAGCAGTATAATTATGGCACCACTGAGGATTATCAGACGGCTGTCTTCTAACGGGGCACTTCCAGCAGTGAATATAAATTTCCGAAGTGGGAGATCGGATGGAGAGTTGATTGCAACATCGTTGACGCGCCGTGGGTTCATATTGGTCCTCCTCCTCCTCCTCCTCCTCCTCCGCCTCCTCCTCCTCCTTCTTCTCCTTTCCTAAAGAGACAATGTGGAGACTTCCATCGTGTTCGGCCTCCAGGGGCCCTCGCGGGGCCCCGGGGCACGTGGGACAAATGACACAGGACGCGTGGCCAGCCCTGGGAAAAAGGGTCGTGGCTTGCGGGGACGCCGTATGGAGCACATCCAGACGTCGGATCTCTGGGACGCTACCCTGCTGCGCTGCCGCGCCAGTGAGCCCCCGCGCTCGGGGGGGCGCCCGTAGGAGGGGAGGCGGGGGCCCTGGCGGCGGCATCTCGGCCCGCGGGGATCCGACGTGGCGACAAAAAATGCAACCTCGCAACACGTCGCGACCAGAGCCCCAGGCCCCCTCTTTCTGCTGCATTCTGCGAGCCAGGTCGATCTGTGATGGCCCCGGGGCACGAGCCAGCGCGGAAACGCCCGGCGTAACAGGATGCAGCGCCCGGACGTCAGGGGAAGGCGCGTGCATTGGCGACAGGCTCAGCTCCCGCACAGAGTCGGCGCGCTCCGTGGCTGGATCAGGCGGCGCCTCGGCTTCCTGTTCCGGGGCGAACCCGTCTACGATCTGTGGACCTCGCGCCCAGGCGGCAAACACACGGACCCCTCATCCATCCTCCTCCTCCTCCTCCTCCTCCTCCTCCTCCTCCTCCTCCTCCTCCTCCTCCTCCTCCTCCGCCCCCTCCTCCTCCTCCTCCTCCGCCCCCTCCTCCTCCTCCTCCTCCTCCTCCGCCCCCCTCCTCCTCCTCCCCTCCGCCCCCTCCTCCCTCCGCCCCCTCCCTCCGCTCCTCCTCCTCCGCCCCCTCCTCCTCCTCCTCCTCCTCCCCCTCCGCCTCCTCCATCTCCTCCCCCTCCTCCTCCGCCTCCTCCTCCTCCTCCCCCTCCGCCTCCTCCCCCCCCCACGTCCCTCTGCGGCCGCCCCCCTCTGTTCCTAGTCGTCCGGTGTGCCCTCTGCTCTGGCGCGGCTCGCCGGCCGCCCCCGAGGGCGCCATTGGCGGGCGCCCTCGCGGCTGGCCAGAAGAGAGAACGTGCGCGGGCGGCACCCGCTGCCCGCGCCGCGGACCCAGACGTGCGAGGCCTTCACTCTCTTGAGACGGGGCCCCTGGACGTCGCGACCCTCTCCCCGGGGCCTGTTTGTGTTGATATACATATATATATATATACATGTATATAGAAGTATATATATGTATTCATATAAGTGTATATATATATATAGATATAAGCACATATATATGTGTGTATATATATATCGTCAGCGGCACGAGAGCTGTCTGAACCATCAATTGGCGCCTGCACACCTCGTGGCAGCCATACGCCTGCTGTTGACAGCTGTGGCCGAGTCGCTTCTTTGACGGCCCCATGGCCTGGCGAGGGACCCCAGCTGCCGAGAGCGGCACAAGCTCCCCGCCAGTTTTTCTCAGGACGCGGGCAGTTGATGGTTCAATGGCCTCTGCCGTCCCTCGGCTCGCGCTGGAGCGGCCACGATTGCTCCGACGTTTCCTGGACATCTCTTTGGACCTCTCTGGACTTTCCGGGCGTTGCTTCGATGTCGATGTCGTTACCTTCGCCTTGATGATGCTGGCTTGGCCCCCACAGCCCGATGAGCGAAGAGTCGTCACAAGCCTTTGGGGCCCACGGTCGGGAACTTCTGGCTGGCATGTCGCTCCGCCGGTCTTCCTGGCTCACCACGCGGCGGCGCGACACGCCGTCCACGCCCCGGCCCCCGGGCGCCGACGTCCCGCGAGCCTCTCCCAGCCCCCCCCGCCGCCCCCCGCGGACCGCAACGACGCCGCTGCCCGCTTCCCTTGGCATCGCTCGGACGTGTGCACTTTTCCTGCGGCGAGGATTATTGAGGAGCATCCCTGATCAGTTGGCGAAAGCCACGCGCGGCACCAAAAAAAACACAGGCAATGGACGTCCGAGCGATGGCCAGTTCCAGAGGGGACGGCGTGCCGCCGTGGCCGCCGCGGCGACACGCTGTCCCAGAGCTCCCGACCGCAGGCACCCCGGAGAGGACCCGAGCGTCGAGGCGAAGGCAGCGCAGGGGGAGCACGAGGGAAGCGTGGCGGTCTGGGTGTGCCTCTCCCTCCCCTGCTCGGGCCGGGCGAATGGGGGGGATTGGGAAAGGGGGGGGTACGAAATCTGCTGCACGCAGCTGGTTTCGGCCCCACCGAGGGGCCCGTTCCTCGAGGCATGGCCGCCTCCGGCGCCGGGAGGCGCCGGGAAAATCAGCCACGTGAGCCGATTCTCAAACCCCCCCAATTGGCCATCCCCCCCTTTCGCCCGGCCCGATCTGTGTCTGCACCGACCTCCGCCTTCGCGAAGCCCCGCAGGAGCGGCCTGCCGCGGATCTCCGGGGCCCCTTCGGCCCCGGGGCCCGGGTGCCCCGCGGGGCGGCGCGGCCGCCCTGGACGGCCCGGCCGCCGCGGGAGGCGCGGCCAGCAGCGCGTTCGGAGGGGCGCGCGCGCGGGCGGCTCGGCGGTGGCAGCCGGCGCTGGTCGGGGGCACGGCACGGGCAGGGGCTCCCTGAGAGTCTTCTGGGCTCCTGGGGTGGGGTCGGGGAGGAGGAGTGGGTCGGAGGATCGCGCCGCATCGCCGTGGCATCGCCGATGCGGCTCGATGCGGGGCCCCTTTTTGCTGCACGCGGGCGTCGCGGATGCGTCGCCGACGTCGCCGGTGCATCGCCGGTGCATCGCCGATGTATCTCCGATGCGGCGCAATCCTCCGACCCCATCTACTCGGATCCCATATATGGGATCGGAGTCATACCGGGCGATTCCGCCACGGATCGATCTGGCTCGAAAAATGCAGCAGAGAGATGGGCCCGGGGTTCTGGTCGACATCAGTTGTTTCAGTTGCATGTTTTCGTGACGACGGATCTCAGGGTCACGAGCTGACCAGTATCACCCATCCCTACACGACCCGTAGATTTCTCGGGGTAGAAATCCGTGGGGGTCCTGTGGGTGTGTGCTGTCGGATGGGGGTCCCCGCTCGAGCGGGTGCCCCCCAAGGGCTCAACAGCCCGCACCCATACCTATAGCGCCTTCCATGGACGGGGGACTGGCCCAGGCCCAGGTGATGCATGGAGGACGTGGCGCGGTCTTTCGATCGGCACGAGCGGAAGGGCAGAGAATGGACGTGAAGACCGACGCCGGTTCTTGTCCATTTTGAGCCAGGTTCGCTGTCGGTGCCGCCGCGGACGTTGCCCGTTTGGGACAGACAGCCGCCTGGCCAACAGCGGCCGCTGTCGGTGTCGGACGACATTGGCTGTGGGGCATCGTGCATTTCTCCAGGCGTCCAAATCCGATCGCATCTACTCGGACCCCATGCATATTGGGAGGCTTTTTGATTTAGGGCTCTTTGGGGGTCTGTCTGGCCCGTGCTCAGACATGCTCGCGTCGCTGGGGGGGGCGCCGGGGACTGGCCCAGGCGCAGACATGGTGACCTGCTCGCGTCGGGGGGAAAAACTGCGACGAACGGTTTTTGTTGCCGTTTTCGGCCTCCAGAGGCCCTCGCCGGGCCCCGGGCCCGTCAAAAAGACGCCGGTCAGGAGCAACGACAAGGTGAGGATCGAGGCCTCCCAGACGATATCCCCCAGAGGTTATTACCGAAGTCCGTGCCCTGAGGCTCCATGGGTTACTACCGAAGTCCGTCCCCTAGATCTTTTCCAGACGGGGTCGAGGCAGATGGGGTCGGAGTATCGCGCCGCATCGCCGATGCATCGCCGATGCGGCTCGATGTGGAGACCAATTTCATCCACGCCGACGTCGCCAATGCGTTGCCGACGTCGCCGATGCATCGGTGATGTATGGAGGATGCAGCGCAATCCTCCGACCCCGTCTATTCTGACCTTGTCTGAAAAGCTTCCAGGGGATTGGCCAAGGCACAGACATGCTCGCGTCGGGGAGGGAAACCAAGGACGATGACTGACAGCAGTTCCTGCCCAAACAGGATTCGCTGTCGGTGCCGGCGCGGGCGTTGCCAAGTTGAGGCAGAAGGTGGGCTGCCAAAGAGCGATCGCTGCCAGATGTTGGCGATTTTTGCTGTTGAGAGTCGTGGTCAGCTTTTGTCCGTAGCCGTGTCGGGCGTGCAAGCAGGGGGGAAAAAACATCGACCCCCACTCGCCCTCTGATCGCCGATCGGGGCCTGGATGCCCAGCCCCGCCGAGGAGCGCGCGGTCTCGCTATCGCGAGCCTGTCGCCAGTCCCTCGGCGACGCACTGCCGATTCCAGGTCAGTGGTCCCCCTTTGAGCCAGTCCCCCCCCCCCCGACGAACGAACAACGCACGCCCATACCCACAGGAGGGTCGGAGGGAGGAGGACTCTAGCTGTGGGTATGGGTGCGGGCTGTCGGACCGCCGGGGAGGCTCCCGTTCGAGCGGGGACCTCATCCGACAACCCGCACCCGCAGCCTCCTCCGTCCCCCCTAGTGGGTTTGGGTGTGTGTGGGTGTGTGCTGTTCTCTCGTCACCCTCTACTGTACGGCAGGTTCGCGTCGTGTCGACCGGCGGCCACCCCAGCGCGGGCGTTTGAGGTCGAACGCCGCCTGTGACCCAGAATCGGCCCATCCTTGAACGATCGGGCCTTTTTTTGCAAGGGCCGATCGTTCCATTGTGAACGATCCCCGCGGTGTCAGGAACCAACGCCAGGGTCGACACGACGCGAACCTGCTGTATCGTCCTCGGCCGGGGTCGGTGCTTCGTGCAGCTTTCGTCGCCTCCGCTTCATATAGCCCCCTGGTGCGGGCGGGTCGGACAGGGGCCAGGACGAGGCTAACTCTAAGCCGGGCCTGTCCATCTACAGGAGGAATATTCGAAAATAGTAAAAAACAGTATGGGGATTATCTTTTTAGTATTTTTGGGCATCTTTTGAATATTTGTTGAGTTTTTTATATTTCGTCGGAAATCCCCCTGTAGGGGGACACGGCCGACTTACGGCTAACTCCGTTCCAGAGCTTTCCGGAACGCTCTCAGCTCGTTCCGGAACGCTCTGCGAAGGCTGCGGCGCCCAAGATATCCTCGGGAGCCGCCGGATCTCAGAGACTCTCGATCCGTCCTCACCCGATGTTATCCGCGTCCTGGCTTCGCCTTATACTGTATCATTCCCCTCGGCCTGGGCCAGGGCTTCGTGCATCTTTCGTCGCCTCCGCTTCCTCTTCCCCGGGTGTGGGATCGGGGAAGTCCAGGACGTCCGCCGCTCCTGCTTGAGCTCTTGTTGCTCCTGGCGTCCTGTCCTCCCAGGGCGGGGAGCTCTCAGGGCGGGCGCAGCTAAAGATGAGAGCTTTGAGGAAGGGGAGGAGGAGGAGGAGGAGGAGGAGGAGGAGGAGGAGGAGGAGGAGGAGGAGGAGGAGGGAGGGGAAAGGGGAGGAGGGGGAGGGGGAGGAGGACAAGTCAGGTGCGCTCGCTTCAGATCTGACGTCCTACCTTCCCCCACCCATCCCTCACCACTGCGCTGATGCGAACCATGGCGGGCCAACGGGTGGTGGTGGGGGTTGGAGCTCTGCCCACGAGGCTGGTCGGTATGGGCTTACTGCGAGACCTCGGCCTGCCCACGTTTTGGGGCCAGATGGCCTCCTTCTGAAGCATGCCACCGCCACTTCGGCTCCCCGTGCCTCGTGCAGAGACAACTCCCAGGCCGAGACCGCAGCACGGGGCAACGGGAGGACGGCAGAGGCGGGCCGCGCCGGCGAGGCACGACGCGGGACCCGCGGGCCACGGCACGCCTCGCCGCGTGCCCGGAAGGCCGCCATCTGCGCAG